TCTCATCCGCCCATTTGTTGAGCTTGTCCAGGTCAGCCTGGATTGCCTGCCTGTCCTCAGGTGTGGATGCTTTACCCCAAAGTTTGGTGTCATCGGCGAACTTGGCCAGTCCACTTCTGACTCCAGTGTCCACATCATTAATGAAGATGCTGAACAATATGGGTCCAAGGACAGAGCCTTGGGGGACCCCACTGGTCACAGGACACCATGATGAGTGACTGCCATCAATTACAACCCTCTGGGTCTGACCACGGAGCCAATTCCCTAGCCAGCGGATCGTGGTGGACCCGAGGCCACATTTGGCCAGTTTCACCAAGAGGGGATCATGGGATACCAGATTGAAGGCTTTTTTGAAGTCAAGATATATTTAGTGCACTACAATGCATGTGTAGATGCTGATGGGGCTGCCTGCTGGCTAGCCCCACACTGGAGCATCCTCGTGCCCCAGTTAGCCCCTCTGCAGCACATTGACCCAAGTCAGAGCATCTCCAGGCTGGTAGGCTGACCTCTGGGGCCTCTTACCAGGCAGGGCTGCTGTCCCAGGTGCACGTGCAAATGGTATACCCTGGAGCAATGAACTTCTGTGCATACCACTCCTGAGTTTATTCAGTTACCTTAATCGCATGTGTAGATGTGCCCAGTATTCTCTAGCCAGAGGCTTTGCCCCATGGCAGCCCGGGGAAGGGCGGCCAGGCACTAAGCGAGCCTGCCACCCTGCCCTTCCCAGAGAGGAATGCAATCCCTGTGGTGAACAAGGCACGCTCAGACCTCCTGGCTGGGCAGGCAAAGTTGTGCCAGGTAGCATTGCCACAGCAGCTCTTCCCCTTGTTTGTGGCATTTCAGAGCGTCTCCAAGGAGGCATCAGAAAAGGCACGATGGATGCTCTTGGGGAAGGCACGTGTTCGATCAGTGCTGGTCAAGAGTCCTTCTGATCATCCTGGAGCTCAGTTGATTTGCTCTCCTAGCAGGGTATTGGAGTAAAGGTGCGCTGTGGGTAAGGAGCTATGTGGGGATCCTCAGGAAAGAGCATACAAATGCAGCAAGAGTAGGGGTCTGCATCTTGGAGTGGGAGCTTGGAAGGGTAAGTCATATAAGTGTGTTCAATCTCTGTGGGACACTCTTATTCCAGAGCAAAGTGCCCTTAACTAGCTGTAGCTTAATCTTTCTTCAAAGTGAGCATCCATGAAGGAAGCCTTAGCATATGCATGTTGCATTCACTTCTTTGTGACATTCATCTGATCTTCTCCTAGATACCTCCCCTCTCCGTGAGTGACAAAAACTAGGTTCCTTGCTTGCATAGCAAGGAGCAACCCATTTCTCAAAGGCACCTGCTGTCTGGATGCTGTAAAAAAATCATTGACACCCAGCAGCCTTTTCCTTTTCCATGCCCTCTTTGTACTTTATTAAACAACCGTAGCACTGGGGACCTGACATGCTGGTTACAGGGATGCTACAGCAATTAGCTACTGTACAGAAACCTGGAAATACTGTGTTTTGCTCAACAGAACTACGCAAAGAGGCCCTCTCTATTAACTCAACTTCTGTGCAAGCCCATTAACTTGAATGTGGCTGCATGAATGGAGCTGAATGCTGAGTTTGGCCCTGGTATGGAGAAATATTGCAAGGCAGGGTGTATAGTACTATCTGCAAAAAGAGGAATCCATTGACCTATCTATATACTTCAAGGCAGATTCTCTGCTGTTATCAGTTGAACCATTCCACTGATGTTAATAAAATAATATTCATTGACATGATCTGGGAGGCCTGGCCCTGTAAGTTAAAAGCCACATTATCAGTTATGACCAAAAAAACATATATACACATACATAACGTCATGTGGATTATTCCATTTAAAGGAAGGCGAATAAATAGCCCAGAACAAGCAGCAATGAACCCAGCTGTTAACGGTGTATACACCAGGCTGTGGGATGAATTTTCTGAGGCAAGATCTTCTCATCCCCTGTCTACAAGCCCGGTCTTGCTCGGACTGGGCTTTGCTTGAAGTTCTGCTTTTGCTCGCTTAAGTGCATCTTGAGCATCTTGCCTCTCTGCGCAAGGGTGACTTCTCCCCATAAGCTTGCAGAGGTCAGAAGCCAATGGGAACCATCAAGGAACAGGACATCCTTAGGGCAGTGATAGCCAAGCACTTTAGGCCAACAGACCACTGTCACCCCTCTCCATTTCTCATGGATCTCTGTACAGTCCCTGCATCCAATTTTTACATTTCACGATCCTTGCCTTTGCAATTTGAAAACACCTTGTGGTGCTCAGACGCATCGTCCATGGACTGCAGCTTGGAAACCGCTGCCTGAAAGCACTAGTGTAAATATTCAGACGTCTCTTCTAAAGTCCTCTGCATGCCCCACAAAATCAGAGCCAGCGAGCACAGGTAATGCAAAAATGAGCATTTAGAAAGGTATAGGCAGGGTTTAAGATCTGCTTGCTTGATCTGAAGACACTTCTGAGACCTTCCCTACTGCTCTCTTCCCCTTCACCCCCCCACCTTTTTTTGTTTTTTGAGTAACCATTCTGCTTTACAAAACAGTGCTAAACAAAAGTCATTGCTCTACCCTTGTTTAGCTCAGGCTATATCGGTTTCTTTCCCAGCCTGAAGGATGGGCATTTGGTTCCTGAAAGCTTGTCTAACATCTCTCCCAAGTATGCTGTTGGTCCAGTAATAGAGATCATTAAGCAGATCTATCCTCTGCCACGTTCCCTGGACCATCCCGGCTGCAACAACGCTAATGCGAAGTAGCTAGAGTCACTCTGGGTTTCTGGGAGTATAAGGATGATGAGAGGCAACACCTATAATTAGAGTTATCTAGGCTTTGCTTCACTGTAATTAAGATCAGAAATTTGACCAAATGCCTTGGAAGTCAATGAGGTTTTTCTGGTGTTATTGAGAGTAGAATCAGTCTCTCAGGATGGTTTGCTGAACATCAGCAAAATTCAATGCCTTCTGGCTACAGGAAAATCTCCACCTCTTACTAAGTATTCTGATATTAGTCACAAATTCTCCTGCAGTAACCAGCGTGCACAGGAAAATATCACTAAGTGGGATACAAGCCTAGATCTTGCAAACCCACTGGGCTTCAAACATTTGTATGTGACCCAACATTGACTCGCTGAAAACACCCAGCACTGCCCGTGTAAGCCAGAAGAAAGGAACAACCTCAATCCCCTACACACAAAATAAAGCAAGAAGGAAAGAGGAACAGCTTTGTAATACTGGTAAAAAGGACTGTCCTGATGGCTTCTGGTTCAGCATCACTGAAGCTTGCGGGATAATGCTTTCCCCTTCTGCAGGGCTTTCCGTATAAAGATCTTGAAGCATATTAAGCTTCACATGGCCTAAGGTCAGGAGGGATTTGGTAGGGCTTGGATGTGAGAGTCTGGCAAGTTCGAAGGGGGGTCATGTCCAATACAGGCTCCCATTTCTGACTGGTAGTGGAGGTGCAAACTGGGATGATGTATGGCAAGTGTTGGTTGGAAGGGGCGGGCTTGAGGTCGAATCCCAGTTCTAGCCAAAGATGCTGGCTAGGACTGGGCATCAGGTGGTCTCCATTCAGGTGCAGCTGCCAGGGTGCCTGGGATTTATTTTTCTTGGTTGGGTTTCTCAAGGCGGCCTTCTACATTAGACAGGGAACGAGGCTTTGGGCGGGCCCCGTCATGTTGGGCTTGTGTGTTTTGGGAGGCTGATCCATCGCTCTGGCTTCTGGAGAGGATGGCTTCCACCGTGCCTCTGTTTAGGTTCATCTCTGTGGGATTCCCCCTTCCTCTAGGATCTGCTTTGGAAGCTGCTGAGCTGGCTGCAGCTGCAGAGGAGAGAGAGGACGGGAGCAGTTTTGGATTTTGCCTCCCAACTTGCTGCTGATTTCATCAAGGTAAAGGGATAAATACTTACCAGACTTTGGTTTGGAGTGGATGCCGGTAATGACCGTGAGCACTGGAGACTCTATGCTGTGGAACAAATGGCCGGCAGTAAGGTGGGCTGATGCGTGCCAGACCCTTGTGCAAAACGCTCCCCTTCCCAAAACATGGACCCATGCTGCTAGAAGCTAGCGACTTCCAAGGGATTGTGGTCCTGGATGTAGGACTTGACCCCCTGTGCCATTCCTACTGGAATAGGTCTGGCTTAGGTGTAAATGGAGGTGTTGGTGGAGCCTGCAGGAACTTCTCCATGAGCATGGGGCTAGCTGAGGGTGCAGGATGGTCCCCCCCCTGTTATACCACCACCTTTGCTGTGATGTCAAGAGGTACCATGGAGCCACCCCTGGATTTGAAGGCAGTAAGTTTCAGAGCCCGAGGCTGGGTCTCATAACAGAGACAGGGCGCAGGCACAGGCTGGTGCTCCGGGCCTGCTCGTCTGCTGTCCTGAAAGCGCACGGGACGAGGCACAGATCCAAGCTATGGCTCCCTAGGCAGTTTATGGACATTTCTTCCCCCTTCCCCGGCCAGTCAGCCCGACTCACCTGCTCTCCTCCCCTTCCACCAGCTTCCTGTAGGTGAGGATCTCCATGTCCAGGGCCAGCTTGGTGTTCATTAGCTGCTGATGCTCCTTGACCAGGTGAGTCACATCCTCTTTGCCTTTCTGCAGGGCTTGCTCCAGACTGGCCAGCTTGGTTTTGGCATCCTGGAGAGCAAACTCACCCTGTTCCCCAGCCTCTTTGATACTTTCTTCCAAACTCAGGCACTGGAGGGTTCAAAGGGGGATGGCAGAGGAGTTACGTGGGTGGCTTGGACCCAGCTGGAAGTATCCACCCCCCAGCACCCTTGGCTCAGGCCTGTGCTACCTGCTGTCTGCATGGCCTCCCTTGTGCGCTCTGGAGTATCCTGTGGGCTGGCCCTACTGCAGTGAGCATCTAGGGCAGTGGGGTTCAGCGTTGCCTACAGCTTCAAGCCAGAAGGGACATTGAGATCTTCTGCAGTCTGTATAGCCTAGACCGTGACCTTTCATCCCAATGCCCTACGTCCAGCCTGAGCTCTCAGGGAGCCTCCAACATTTTGGTCCTCAGCAGATTAGATGAGGGGCAGAGACTCAGGCCCCAGCACTGCCAGGCCTGAGACCAGCCATTGTACCTTTCCATAAGAAACCATCATAGCAAGCCAGAATCCCACCCCATGCCTCAGTTTCCCTTCCCATCTCTGTCTGTAAGCTCCCCATGAGACAAAGGCCATCTTCTAGTCTGTGCACAGCACCTAGCACCATGCAGACCTAATCTTGCTAGAAGCCTTGGATCTAATAATAAATAATAGTCAACCCCAGGATACTTGTTCTACAATGGTTGCCTGGGGGGAGCTGGCTCGGAGCGGGGCACAGCTGCCATTTGTCTCCTGTTCGAGATGCCGAGCTCACCTGGCTCTTGAGGGACACTATGCAGGACCTCAGCTTCTGGATCCGTATGTTCAGGTCAGCAATCTCCCGCCGGCTGTTGAAGAGATGATTCCCATATGTGGTGGAGCGTGGGACCCCTTCATTCAGCTGCAGGGAAGAGACTGGCATGAATTGCACCCCAGCGACAGCCCCAGCAAAAGCAGCTCCCAGGACAGCAGGTGAGCTTGTCCTTGGGACCGGGGTGGTTACTGAAAGACGCATCTTTGTGAGGACAAGACCAAGCCTGACGGCAGCAGGGTTCAGAGGTGGGGAAGGGGGTCTCTTGTGGCCATGTCAGGATGGCAAACACAGTGTGTGGCAGTGGAGTGACATGGTGCTGGGCCCTCCCTTCTCTTCCCTTCCTCCCTCTCTTTTCCTTCTCATCTTTTACTCAACTTCTGAGCTTCCCTTTTCTCTGCCTCCTCTCTCCTTTCCCTTGTTCACCTGCTGACCTGCTCCCTTCCCTCTCAGCCTCTTGCCCCTCAATTTGTCTGATTTAATTACTTCATCTGTCTTTCCAGCCACCCAGCCCCTGTCTACCCATATCCCTGTCTCTCTAATGTCTATCCATCTCATGAGCATGCATCTATTTGATCACAGTATCCTGTCTTTCAGTTGCAGGTGAGGCATTATCAACCAACTCTCTAATCTACTTAGCCTTCTACCTGTCCATCCAGTCATCCATCTGTGCCCATCTCGCTCTATCTCTATCCATCCAGGCTCACACATGCTCCTTTATTTCTGCAGTTGCTATCCATCCATTCATCCTTGCTTGTACCCATCTCCCCGCCTCTAATTGCTATCTATTCATCCATCCACCCATTCTCATGTGCACCCATCTATCTCCATTAATTCAGCCATAGACACACCCATCTATCCATCCATCCATTATCTATCACTGAGGTTGGTACTTTTTTTCTCTCCCCTTCCCCCCACACCAGCACTGGGTCTCCCATGCTGGTTAGACAGCTACCTTGCTCCAGATATGTGCTTCTGCTTCTTTCCAGCTCCGAACAGCCAGGGCTTCATAGTGAGCCCTCACTTCCTCCACAATGCTGTGCAGGTCAAGGTTGCATCTGCTATCGATTCCCAGGACAACTGAGATGTCCTTCACTTCTTCTAGCAGCTCTTGAAGCTCCTGGATGACAGGGAAGGAGAATAGAGTGGAGCTTATGTGTGGGAAGGGAAGTTCTCATCAGCTCAGCCCTGGCAGTTCAGCCAAATCTCTCCCACCTGCAGTTTGTAACCTGTGCTGGGTTAGACCACTGGTGCACTGCCCCTGCAACAGATTTTGGTTGTGCATCTTCCCAGATGCCACATTCTCCTGCAATGGACACATGAGCTAGGGACGCAGCAGCATGGATTATTTTGGGTGCTAAACGCAAGAACATATTTATACCCTGCCACCTGCACAGTTCGTAGCTGAGATTGTGCTGGGATTTGCTACTGAAGCTACCTACATCCATTTGTTGCAGCATATGCCCTTGAGCACTTGAGCTAATGGAGAATCTCCATTAATCCTTAACACTGTAGGGCTTAGGACACATGCTTGGGCAGTTCTGATTCTATCCAGTAGGAGACACCACATCTTTAATACGGCATCACACATGTCCCAGAGTGAACCTCATGCTCTCGAGAATGTCTGAACCCAGGCAATGAACCACAGTAGTTGCAAGCACATGCCAACCAAAATACAAAAGCTGCAGCTCCCAGCTCTGGGCCATTTATTTTGATGATTGATACAGTCATGGCACTAGTAGAGGGGAGGATCCGAGCAATGATGGATGTAGATACAGCTCAGTGGATCTGAAAGGACCCCTAATCCCTACTTGTAAACCATGTTTCTCTATACGTTGCAGCCAGGCAAGACCAAACCTGAAGGCTTCCTAACCCCACGGCAAACGTGGCTTTCATAGTTTTCCCTGCAGCTCAGAAGTCCCCCCCCTTCCTTCAGTGGTGTAGCACTATTGATTTCTGCGGGGCTCTTCCAGATTTATGCCAGCAGGAGCAGAATAAGCCTCTTCCAATCCCTGCCTTTCATCTCCATCACTCTGCTTTCATTCCACCTTCTTGTTTCTTTATACATTGATATGCTTTGATATGTTCAGGAGGAAAAATGACCTTGTTTGCTTTGCCTTTCCCCGACTGGCAGAGGCTGGATGATTCAGCTGTAACCCTTGAAAAGAAACCCCTTTTCATGGACTAGGATTTTAAGTGTGTTTCTTTCTTACTAGAGCTTAATCCCTAGTGTATATATACCTAGGGGGCATACAAAAGGCAGCTAGCACCTGGATGAGCAAATGCATGCTCTGGCTGGAACACAGAGGATTGATTCTTCCCCTTCCTATGCCAGTAAATACATTGCTGCTGATTTTTGCCCAGAATCAGGGGTTACATGGATGTGAAACAGGCTATGAGAGCAGAATCGTGTCCCAGATCATCTTTCCTAGCTTGGCAGACCGGCAAACTCCGTAGCCCCTTTCTTAGTGGGGGTGGGTTGATTGGGAAGAAAATGGGAATTATTTCCCAATGTCATTAATGTTCTTTTGATTATTTGAGGCTTTGCTGTGAACATTTCTCATTTTGAATCAAATCAGGATGATTTTTCCAATTTCTCTCTCCTTTCTCCCCCCTTCTGCCCTTATTTTGCCAGAACTTGACTGTATTTCCTGCAAAAAAAAGAACCCAAGAGTCTTCCTTCACTTCTCTAACCACTGGACTGCCTTCCTCCCATGAGCTGGGCACAGGACCCAGAAATCAAGGCTCTCTTTCTACTTGCTAGTCCACCAGGCCTTCCTCCAGCTAGGAACAGACCCCAGGAGTCCTGGCTCCCATTCTGTCCTGATCCTAGTTTAACATCAGGCTGTGCAGCATAAAAGATTTTCTGCTGTGAGACATGGGAAATGTCAAACCCCTGGGACTGCTGACCCTTCCTTTCCAGTGGTGGATTATACTGGAGCAGTGGTGCTCAACCACAGGCTGGATGAGTGGCATGGGGCCAGTCCCTGGGCTGGATCGGCACAACAGACTCAGGCTGCATACCACCTTTGCCCATCTCCGTGCACTAGGAATGAGCTCCACGCTGCCCTGATGAGTGCTGATGAGCTCTGTGCCTCCCCAAGCAGCCCTATGCCACTCAGATCAGCCCCTTGCCAGCCCTGTGCATCCAGTCTAGCTCACAGGGCCTTGCTATCTGGGGCTCCTCCTGGTTTCAGAAAATCTGACAGCAAAGGAGAAGCAATTTGCTGCCACTGCTCCCTCACTGCCTTATTTTCAGATCTGTGCAGAGCCCTGTGGGCCAGATGACAGCTCCATTGGTCAGGGGTTGAGACCTCTTGTGCTAAAGAAAATTTATGGGCAACAGATTTAGTATGCAGGGATTGAAAAAGATTTGTACCCTGGACTCCCTCAACAGGAAAAGAGGAGATTGTCCAAGCTGAAGCAAGATCCCTGATGTCCCTTAGCTCAGCCAGGAGCACCATGGCGGCTGAGCTCCATCAGGAGGGAGGAGTAGGGTCTGGCCAGGCAGCTGTCACTTTGCACAAAGGGCGCATGCAAAAATGCAACCTGCTGCCAAAGTCAACAGCATGCATCCCTAGGCAAAGCAGCTCCAGGGGATGATGGGCCTATGTCTCAGGAGGGTAGGGCTCCTCCTAAGTGAGCAGCCTTGGGGGCATAGGTGTGGCACTGGTCCTTTCCCCACAGATGCACTCAGCATTGGTAGATATACTGGGTCTGAGTTCCCATTGCCTTGTGCTGAGGGTGCAGCAGGGCTCAGTGGTTAGAGAGGTTAGGACTGTCTTCTTGTGGGAGCCCTACTGGAGAGCTTACAGCCTCAGCCACTTGGTGCATCATCTTGGGCTCCTTCTCTGTAGGGCCCCTGGGAACCCATTCCCTATTCATAGGGAAACCTCCCTGCTGGGGACAAGGGCTCCCCAGCCTAGCAGCTCACACCTACGCTTCTGTCCTTATCTCTGCCTTTTACCTGCTCATATACAGATTTCTTCAACTCCATGTGCTCTTGAAGTCCATTCAGCTTTACCTCCAGCTCCGTTCTGTGCAAGGAGCCAGCATCCAGATCCTGCGGGTTAAGGAAGACATGCCCATGAGTGGTTTGCAGGCTGGGCTGGGATTTGTGTCTGGGGCTGAGAGATCTTTCCTACTGTGCACTCATTACCCATTAATTCTGCTCTCCTGCCTGCAGAGCAGGTGAAATATTTTGGGGGGTCCTTCTTCTGTCAAGGAAATGGGAAAAATCATGATGCATCTGCAGCCTTTTTGTCACCCTGCTGGGAGTTCAGGTGCCCCTGGGCTGAGTTCTTGTAACTGAATCAATGCAAAAGTCTTGATGGGACAACATCTGCTCAAGACTCTGGAGATGATACCCCATGCTTTTGCACCAAATGGTCTGGACTTCATTTCTGATGCCTTTACAGTGGGGGCTCCTTCCCCCACTATTTCTGAGGAGGGCCCTTTTAAGGGAAGGGGAGCAGCTTACTTTTGGCTCTGCCCATTTCAGAGTATATAAGGAGCAAGCTAGAGTTAAGGGGCCAGTTGGCTCCAGCCTATCAAGAAGAGAAGAGCTTCAGGGCTGGGGGTTGGATGATAGGGCAGCCCCAGGTAAGGGAGGCTGCAGGGAGGCGGGTCAGAGTGGTAAGTGCAGGGTTATGAGCTGGGAGGTGCATGGTGATGACGCAGGGGAACAGAGAGATTCAGAAAGTGAGTCTGGACAGTAGAGACCACGCTGGGAGGTCTGATATAAGATGAGAGAAATGCCCCTTACTCATCTGTACCACCAATGCCTTTAGCACCCTAGGTTTTCCTTAGGGGCAGGTTTCCTGCTCAAATACAGACCCAGCATGACTCCACTATCGCTCTGAGGGGCTTCCATGGCTTCTGCTCCTGAAGTACCTGAGCATTTTGAGGGTATTTAGTGTTGTGACCCTGCCCTCAATGCTTTGCTGCACAAAGAAGTGGGAGGATTAACCCTACAGATGGTTACACTGAGACTTGGACCATCTACAAGCTCATCTCCAGCCTGGACAGGAACAGGCAGACATCTAGCCCATTGCTACTGACCTTCTTGAGCTCCATGAAGGTGTACTCCAAGCTACTGCGCAATTGCATTTCACCTTCGTATCTACAGAGAGAGGAGATTGGGATGAAATCTTGCAGAATTAAGCTCACAATTATAGTTAGGGCTGTGAAGTTTGGCTCTACCCATTTATGGCTGGATCAGCAGGGCACAAATGTTTGCTTTAGTCCAGAGATGTCACCTCATCCCCAACTGGACCAGTGTTAGAAATGCAAATGGGCCCTGAGTTTGTAGCAGATGATG